CATTCTAGGAGATGCCCCAAGTCATGAAATGTGGTTTAGCTTTGCTTTATCATGAATAATAACAATTGTGGGAAACCCATCTTACCCAATGTCCCAAAGAAAGCCACAGAATTCTCAATCACTTGGTAAATGAAGACATGAAATGATTCTGAGCACGGTTATTCAGATGAGTATCTTAGATTACCGTTAAGTGTAAGTATTATTCTCTTTATAAAACAGACACTGCAATATTTGTAATTAATTACAAGCTACTTGATGGCAGAGGCTGTGCTTTGTTCACTCCTATATTTCCAACACCTGAGACAATGTATACAGTAGGTACTCACTAGCAACTTTAAAGAATAACGAATAAATGAAGGAAAACATTTCCCAAGTTATAACAAGGATTTTAAAGGGAATAAGCCCAGATAATGTCATAAGCATAAAAATCTAAGAAGCGTATACTGTAAGCATCCATTTTGTTGTTACTTAATTTGCAAACAAGATGCAGACTAAATATAGTTCTTTTTGTTCAGGTGACCTTTTATACTTAGGGCTATCATTCCTTTCAGTTTTGGTTCTACTTTTTCTAACTAAAGATAGCTGTCTTTAAACCATGGTAGGAGAATTTAATTATTAATGTTAGCATCTGAAGGACAAATAGGCGGGATGCAGTCTAATGTTCATTGATAAAAGTGGTGTTATTTGTACATCAAATATTCCTCATAGACAAATGACACAAAAAGCGATATATTCTTTCCTTCCACCTCCTCCCACCGTGTCATCATTCACACAGGAAAATGAAATACACTTTGCTTTGACCAGTTAAGTGTTTATCCCTTTTCCAGTTACCACTCTCAGATAATCAGAACGGAATTCAAATGTTCACTCTGCTGCTTACTAAATTAGGCTAACTTTATGTGGCTCTCAGTTCTTATTTTCATCATCTATAAAACTCAAAATAACATAGGAAGAGTTTTTGATAATCAAATGAAATTTAATTGTATAATAAGTGGAACATCTAACACAAACTAAGAGCCCAATAAACATTCCCTTTCCTTTCCTAAATCTCTTCCTTTTGTATAAGAACTCTTTAGGTCTCTGTATGAGAAAGACACTGATCCAGGAGTAAGGATAAATTGTAAATTCAAGGAAAAAGCAATTTTTTTTCCCTCAATGGTCATTATTGTCCATAACAGATGTCAGTCAATAATTTTGCTTTCATCAGCAACAGACTATTGTCAAATGATATTATTGGGTTCCCAAAATAGTAAATGCAAATTTTCATACAAAAGGAATTTTTTTTTGTAACAGTGTAAAGTTTTATGCAATAATGTAATATGCAACATTTATAATCAGGCCTCTTTGCAGCGATCCCCATACATCTAATTAGATCTCAGAGAGTCTTGGGAAGTAGACTGGGTAGATTTATTTATTTTTTCATTATCCAGATTAAAAAATAGAGAATCAAGGAGGTAATTGCTTAACTGTCGCTGACGGTAGATTATGTGTGTGTATTATTATCCAGTAGTAATCTAGCTGTGTGATCTTGAGTGTCATCACTTCCCCCAGGGCTTTCCACTATGCGAGGGGGAGCTGGATGAAGTCAAGATTCGAACTCCGATTTTCTAATTTCCCCCTCTGTCTACATATAATCCTTTCCACTGTGAATGTCATCCTAATGAGCTACATCAAAGTAAAATTTTAGGCAGGTAGAGAGTAAACAGTTATTATATAAAATTTCATTAGAGTTTTGGTTGAAGGAAGTGTAAATTTTGAGAAGAGGCTCCTTGAACCAATCTGAGACCCTCAGTTTCTACATAAGTGCTTTCTGTTAATAGGACACACAGGAAAAAATAGTGGGTGGTTAACAAAGCCAGAAATTTTTCTTGATTCTGTTATTAGATACAAGAGCTTGGATAAATGATTTGTCTTCCCTGTCCCTCTATAAATGAGGATTTTAGGGGAGGTGATATCTATTTGGCCTAATATCTTATTTTACAGACAATTTTTTTCCTAGCTCTGTGCTATTAGATATTACACGCACACGTCTATACTTTCTGATTATAAAGACTTATTACTTCACATAAAGAGTGGTTTGACTAGTTGAAATTTGTGAGGGGCAGTTACAAATAATGTCTGTTCTCTAATGAATCACAAGCTCTTTCCCAGTTAGGACCTTTCTTACTAAAAACTTCTTACTTTATTTGGTGTGCCAGGGAAGCAAGACTGTCAACAGTAGTCATGCGATGAGTGAGAACACAAACTCCCAGTGGTATTTAAAAAGGTTTAGCAAATCTAGGATAATGTGCCTAGTTTCCAAGAAGCATGCCTGAGCATATGATTTTTTTTTAATGCATCCCCTTTGTAATTATTTTTTTTCCAGTCTGTTTACAGTCAGTAAAGAGCTAACTGACCCACGGAGTTCTTGAAAGTACCACTAAGTGTTCAGCAGTTGAGAGGAAAATTATTAATATAAAATTCAATCTCTAATGGTCCTCTTTCCTTATTTCTCCTTTCTTTCTTAAGCGCAAAATGTTTTTGTGAAGTGTAAGTGCATTGGGCTCTAAAGATCTATTAATATTTTAATCAATTACCAAATCACTCTTAAGCTATGGACTTTGAAGTAAAATTATAAGAGGTTTGTGTGGCTTTCCTCTGTTAGACGTCTTTCATTTGTAAGATTTGATTCAAACAGGAATTATAAGGGTTCATTTATTAGCCATGGGCTTATAATACAATTGTATATTCTATAGATGAAGACAAGAAAAACAGTCACTGTAGAATCCAATGTCTTCACCATATATCATGCTTTATTCCATGTACTGACTCGCTAATGAATGAACTCTTTAGAGAGTAAGATATGTATTAAGACACATTTTGACTACACCATTTTAATTCGGAGCACTTCTCATAAATATTTTATAAAGTAAAAAAAAAAACTATACCTTTTTATTATTCAGGCTCAAATTGAGTCATTTTTTTCCTTACAGTTACTTATGAGTCCTTTAGCATGTAGTTGTTAAATAAAAGGCAATTAAAACCTGAAAGGAAAAACTGACCCAAACTAAAATTTCTTTCTTGGAAACCTGTACAGTGGGTTTTTTTTTAAGAGTATTACAAGTAAGCAGATCTCATCACTTAAATCAATTCACACCAAAGTATGCTATAAACCCTATTTCAATAAAATTATGAAAATTACAATTCAAATTAAATAACTTCTATAAGACACACTGGATAAACAGACCAAGTAAGTTACAGATAAGTCAGATCAGATAAAAAGCCACTGACGGATTTCCACAATAAAATTATGATAAAATGACTAAGAAGCTGTGAGAAGCTAGGGTAGATACTATCTGGCTCTTACATAAAGACCTTAAAACAAGTATGTATGCCTCTGTCATTTAAAACTTCAACCTCTTCCCCAATGAGTAATGTACAGTAATGTACAGAATTGAAATTATGCTTAAAAACTGGAAATATATATCAAAACAACAAAACAAAATTTCAAGAGAGCCTCGACTTCTGTGGGACGACTGCCAGGTGTTGCTATGTTTTGGCTGAGTGACTCAGCTGACACTTTGGTCAGTAAGATGTTGGGGGAGGTGGGGGAGACGTCATAAAGAAACTGCTAATTTGAGTGAATTGCAAGATATGAAAATTAAATGTGCAATTTTTTTTTACGTGATAGTAAAACCTGATTCTTAAATTAGCCTACTTATACCCAGAACGTGTTTGTAAACACGTTCTGCCACCTCAAATGAGCAGTTCACATATTTGGAGTTGATTGTTTAAATTGAGAAACAGTTTTTGAAAGTTCTGAAGTTTGAAAGTCTATAGCCATCCATAAATAACTACAGCAAAAAGTGATGTGAGGTGTTTTGTGTAAAGTGAGGCATCACAGGGATAAAATACTTCTCTCTCCCTGTTCCTCTCACACTTCAAAAAGGAAGAAACTAGATTTAAGACAAATTACATTATGCCATCATCATCCTGATTAGATTTAATCATTTAGAATTAAGATATGATTCATGCACTAAAGTCTTTTAGGTGCTAGAAAATTTGATTACATAAGTGTAATTTGTATATATCCTAGAAAAGTTATTTAGGAATTTCTTTTTTATATCACATGTACATCCTTTCTATTAAACTTTATTTTGATATATATTGAGATAGAGATCTATCATTTTGTTAATTCACTACATTTTACATTAAGACATCTTTGACATTTCAGAGAAGTACATTTGCAAACTTGTTTCAGAAGGATCATGGTATTAAAAGTGATGTAACATGGGTCAGACAGAGTAGATTTTGCTTTTCTGTATTTATTTGATTATTTTTTGATATTCACCTATTCAGAATTTCTACATCTAGGAAATCACTATGTTACTAATTCTACCAGAAAGAATGAGATCAAGAATACACTTAATTCTGTTTCACAGAAACATATTTAGGAAAGCAATTAGCACTGTCAAATAATGGCCATGTAAGGAAATACAGGTCATAATTAAGTTGTGAGTAGGTTGGAAGGAAATCTCCTAATGAGATTAAGCTGTAAGTTTTAAAGCCTGCAGATGGTTGTCATGTTAAAATAATTCTAATTTAATGACTATAAACAAATCAAGCATACCGATTCTGCATAAAATTTTGTTCAACGTGAAAAAAATTTGTATCACATACAGAGAATGCAAGGTGATTTGATTAAATTTTACTTACTGCTTTTTTTCTTCAATAGAATTTAAAATGATATGATGCTAGGAAAAAATGATGAAATCAACATAAACATTTCCTGCCACATACATGTATCACAAGGATTACCCCTGGTCTCCTATCCAAGAGGATTATAGGATAAAGGATTTGCAGTGAAATGAAATTGAGTTTCAGAGGGCTTCACTTGCTTAGTATGTTAGTTTCTTATCTTAGAAAGTAGAAAGGTGAATATTTCTATTAAAAATATTTGTACGGTCTTCCTAGTTTATAGAAACTCAAGTATAATTGTTGTCTCTTTTTAAAGTACTTACTGTTCTGTAGGAATTCTGGGGCAGTCTTCGTTTCCTTTCCTTCAGATTTTTTTTTTTCTAAAAGGAAAAAAACAGCATACACAGTGGTTAGGCGACTACACATAGTTCACAATTATTTCAGATTACCGTGACTATAACTGATTCATTTTATTACTT